GGAAAAGAAAACACCACCAGAGTGAAGAAACAGCCCACAGAGTGGGAAAATTTTTTTACCAGCTATTCCTCAAAGGACTAATATCTAGAATATATAAATATATATATATAAAAAATCAGAACCCTCAATTTAAAGACCCAAACTAAATCAGGGATTTAGCTCAGTGGTTTCACCACCTGCTGTACAAGCGCAAGGACCCAAGTTTGATCCCTGGTACCAAAAAAGCCCAAAAATCAATCTAAAAATGGGGTTAATGAATAGACACTTCTCAGATTAAGAAGTACAAGTAGCAAATAAATATGTGAAAAAATATTCAACACCATTGATCATTTAAGAGATGCAAATTAAAACAACACTGAGATTTCATCTCGCTCCAGAAAGAATGGCTATCATCAAGAAATTAATAACAAATGCTGGGAGGGCTGTAGGGAAAAAAGATCCTTTCTCCGTTGTTGGTGGGAGTGTAAATTGGTGCAGCCAATATGGAAATCGCATGGAGATTCATCAAAAAATGAAAACTAAAGGTTCCATTTGACCCAGCTATTCCCCTTGGTACTTTCCCAAAAGAGTTTAAAGCATCACACCACGGTGATATATGCACACCCATGTTTATGGCAGCACAATTTGTAATAGCTAAATCCTGGAAACAGCCCAGATGCCCATCATTGGATGAATGAATAAAGAAAATGTGGTTTTTATATACAATGGGGTACTACTCTGTCATAAAGAAGGGTAAACTTGAAGCATTTATAGGTAAATGGATGCACTTTGCGACCATACTTTTAAGTGAAATAAATCAGACACACGTTTAAATACCATGTTGTTTCTCTTGTGTGAAAAACACAAATAAGGACCAAAATGGATGATATTGGGAAGCAGGAAGAAAATGTTCAAATGGGAAAGGGAAAAAGGGAGGGGGAGGGGAAAAGGAAGAGAGAATAGAAGGAAAAAGATGGACAATGGTTTTGTAAAGAAGGAGAAGAAAGGTTGAAGGAGGGAAGGGGAATAGGGAAAAGAGAAAGATATATCATGTACAGGTACAAATTCCTTATGATGAATGCAATCTATGTATATTAAAAGTATACCAATAAAATCAATTAAAAATAAAATACAAATTAAAAATTTCCTATAGATAGCACATAGTGGGGTATTTTTTTTTCAGCCCATTCAGCCACTCTGTATCTCTTGATTGGAGAGTTTCAGCCATTTATGTTTAATATAATTATTAATAGGTAAGGACTTACTATGAACAGTTCCCAATTTATGATAGCTCCATTTACAATGGCAGACTTTTTGGGGGGTCGGGTACCAGGGATTGAACTCAGGATCTTGGGAGGCAGGTGTCAGCACCACTGAGCTAAATCCCTGGCCTGCCAGACCTTTTTTTTTTTGGTAACAGAGTCTTACTATGTTGTTCAGACTGGTCTTGAACTTGTGATCCTCCTGAGTGCTGAGTGTGTCCTCATACTTGGCTATGGTGGTATGAAAATGTACACATACAACTGTCCTGTTTTTCACTATCAGTGCAATATTCAGTAAATTGCATGAGGTACTCAACACTTTATTGTAAAATACACTCTGTGTTAGATAATTTTGCCCAACTGTAGGCCCATCTAAGTGTTCTGAGCACTTTTAGGGTAAGTTAGGCTCAGCTATGATGTTGGGTGAAGTGTATCCAATGCAATTTTGACTCACAATATTTTCAATTTATGATGAGTTATTGGGAAGGAACCCCATCATGAGTCAAAGAGCATCAGTATTCAGATTTTGTCCTGTCACTTGGTAGGAATTTAACTTCAAGTATGTTTTGTTTTGGCTCACTTTGTAGTTCAGGGTGGCCTTGAACTCATGGCAATCTTCCTGCCTCAGCCTCCCAAGTGCTAGGATTATGGGGATGCACCACCACGCTTGCTTCAAATATGTTATTGATGCTTTCTAAATGAATTTTTACTGCTGGGAAGTGGGCACAACTAAAGAGGCCACATCCAGGAATATGGTCAGGTAGAGATCATCTGTGTAAAGCTAAATGGGGACTTGACATGCAGTGTTCAGCAGTTTTAGCTATTTTTTGATCCATGGGACAGGGCAGCTGGATACTCAAGAGGGAAAGACTTGGAGCCTGAGAACCTGGACTCAAGTCTCAGCCCGGTGGTGTATCAGCCCATTCCATCCACATGGCTGCCATGTCGTGGCCCTTGGAGGGGTCTTCACTTGAGTTACCCCTCTGTGCCTTATGATACAGGACTCAGCTGACTGACAGGAGTGGGTGTCCCGCCTAGGGACAGTGAGGCAGCGTGTGAGAAATCCAACTAATAGGGCTGTTGGGGACAATGGAACCATTCAGGTCCTTTCTTCTGGAGAATTTACATAGAGACACAGAGAAAGGATTAGCAGTCGGTAGGTACTGGGATCAGAAGCAGATGAAAATTTATAAGCAGAAGCTGTTACCAGGGTCCTAAGCCAGAGTCCCGTATTTGGGGTCCTAATGGACCAGGCTTACCCAGCAGGAGACAGGCAGGGTGAACACAGGAGGGATTTTATTTGGAGAGTGGCCACGCTGGGCAGGAATTTTTTAAAAATTAATTTTATTGGTACATTTTAGGTATACAATATAATGACATTCATCATTGGGAATTTGCACCTTTACATAATCTCTCTTGGTTCTTATTTTCTCCCCATTCCCCTGCCCTCCCTTCAACCCCTCCATCCCTCCCTATCTACAAAGACTTTGTTTCCATTTGTTCATTTTCTCATATTAATTCCTTTCCCTTCTTTCCTGTCCCCTACCCCTCCCACTGTCCCTTCCCCTTTGCCCCTTTTCTTCCCATTTCACATTATTATACCTTTTAGTCCTTATTTACACTTTCAGTTTCTTACACTAGAGAAACTATTTGGTATTTACACATGTGTCCTATTTATTTCACTTAAGAGTATGGCCTCAATGAGCATCCATTTAGCTATAAATGTCTCTAATTTCTCATTTTTGATGGCTGAGTAGTACTCCATTTTATAAAACCCCCCCACATTTTCTTGATCCAGTCTCCAGTTGATGGGCATTTGGGCTGTTTCCAAGCTTTAGCTATTACAAACTGTGCTGCTATGAACATGGGTGCACATATATCACTGTGGTATGATTCTTTTAATTCTTTGGGGAAGATACCCAGTAGGGGAATAGCTGGGTCAACGGGACTTCCAGTCCTAGTTCTTTGAGGTATCTCTACACTGATTTCCACAGTGTTTGCACCAGTTTACACTCCCACCAGCTGTGGAGCAGGGTTCCTCTTTCCCAATAGCCCTGCAAGCATTTGTTAAGTTTTTTTTTGGTACTGGGGATCGAACTCGAGTCCTTGTGCCTGCACAGCAGGCAGTGAAACCAGTGAGCTAAATCCCCAGCCAGCATTTGTTATTGGTTGATTTCTTGATAGCAGCCATTCTTCTGGGGGTGAGGTGGAATCTCAGTGTTGTTTTCATTGCATCTCTCGAATGACCAGTGATGTTGAACATGTTTTTCATATGTTTATTTGCTATTTCTACTTCTTTGTGTGAGAAATGTCTGTTCATTTCAGATGCCCATTTTTGGATGGGTCTTTAAGTTTGGGAGGTTTGATCTTTTTAAGTTCTTTATAGATTTGAGATAGTAGACCATTGTGTGAGGAAGAGCAGGTGAAGATTTTTTCCCACACTGTGGGTTGACTCTTCACACTGTTGGTGGTTTCTCTTGCTGTGCAGAAGCTTTTCAATAAGAAGAGATCCCACTTGTTGATGGTTTGTGCTAGTTCACGTGTGAGGTTTTGTTCATAAAATCTTTTCCTACACTAGTGTCTTCAAGAGTTCTACCTAACCTCTGTTCCCGCCGGTTTAACATTTCTGATTTAATATTTAGATCTTTAATCCATTTTGATTTTAGTTTAGTGCATGGTGAGAGATACAGGTCTAGTTTTAATCTTTGGCAAATTGAAACCCAATTTCTCCAGCACCATTTATTAAAGAGGCTGTCTTTCCTCCAGTGAGGGTGTTTGGCTCCTTTGTCGAAGATGAGTTGTTTCTGCATCTTCTAATCTGTTCCACTGGTCCTCGGGTCTGTTTCTTTGCCGGTGCCATGTTGTTTTTATCACAGGAATTTCTATGCCCTGTCCTTCAGGGTACTAAGAAGAGCTTTGAGGTTCAGAGAGAAGGCACAAAGTCCAGGGTCAGGGTTTGGTGCTTGGCGAGCCTGGTCAGGCGTGGTCTGGCTGATTATTACCTCGGGGTTCGTCTTGGTCAGGCAGTGCCTTGTCTGGGGTGAGGTGGTGCTGCTGCTTAGGGTGCTTTCCACTGTGTGTGTGGTCCTGGGATGGAACCCAATTTACCTTGCGCATGCTAGGCAAATACTCTTTAAATCTGCAGCCCTTTTTAAAATACTGAGACAGGTTCTTGTTAAGTTGCCCAGGCTGAGCTTAACCTTGTGATCCTTTTGTCCTAGCCTCCCCAGTAGCCGGGATTGCAGGTGTGCACCACATCAGGCTAAGTTTTGACTGTTATCACAAGAAGTTTCTTGGGCACAGCTGATGTTCCTGAAATGCAAGTTGACTACAGGAAAGAATGACTCAGAGAAAGAAGTCAGAAAGGCATGGTGGAGTTAGGTCAGCAATGAGGCTTCCTTCAGGGTTAGGGCAGACAGGAGACTGCTGGGCACTGCCCCGTGGTCTGGGACAGGATATTGTAAAGGCTGGTGCTTGACAATCAATTATGATGTCTCTGCAAATCTTTGTGTTTTTAGTTTATGAGACAGGGTCTCACTCTGTAGCCCAGGCTGGCCCCAAACTTGTGGTGGTCCTCCTGCCTCAGCCTTCCAAGTGCTGATACAAATCTTGACAATATCTTCTTTACTCTCATCTTGGTGCCTTCAGCCTTTAAGGGAGAGGATGATCTGATTTCGACAGACACTCCTTAGATGATTAACCTGTCAAACGTGCAGAGTTGAGCAAGCATTGGGCCCGCAGTTGAAGGTAGCAAAGGAGGCAGATGTAACATGAAGGCAGAGATGCAGGCTTCTGTCCGGTTTGCAGTTACCCAGGGGGCGTCTGCAGGTGTCAGAATTTTCACAAAAGCAGCCTCTAAATCTGGCACCCTGCCTGTAGTCTGCAGAGGCTCTGGGAGTGGAGCCCGGATTGACAGGAAGCATGAGTCAGCAGGAGCCGTGAGTCAGCGGAGCGGCAGCGGGGCTCGGGGAGGGCGGGTGCAGAGTCACCGTCACGCGCAGCCCCGCGCACAGCTGGGATGGTCCTGGGAGGCCAGGCCGGTGACAGTGACCGTGACCCTCGCACGACCACAGCGGCCGGGGGCTGTTCCAGCCTGGAGAGCCCTGGCTGGGCTGACGCCTTCGTCTCCCCGGGGCCCCGAAGGAGCTGGGAAGTTTCCGCTTCCTCGCCTGGGACGCGGGCGCCTGCTGCTTAGGGCTGCTTGGCGGAGACCCCGCTCTGAGGCCAAGCGGCTCCTCTTGTTCTGCAGGCTTCCCAGGGGCCCTCCTCCAGATCTTTTTCTGCTTAAGTAAGAACTCTAGCCAGATCCACCCCTCTCCGGGCTGTTGGAAGTGAACTAATCCGGCACGTTTGTGAGAGGCTGGGTGTGGGACTGAAAGGGTCCTCCTGGCCCTAAGAGGGGAGAGAAGGGAGGCGTCCAGGTCCGGGAGGGACCCAGAGGGACCCGGAGGGAGGCTCTTTCCCGCCCCCTGGCGGCTCGCTGCTCCGGCGCTCCCGGCTGCACCTGGTGCAGATCCTTGCCCTGAGCAACATCTCCGGACTCTGTACCCCGGAATTAGCCCGACGTTTTCAAACTTTGCTATTTCAAGCCAGGCCTGGCGGTGCACGCACGTAGTCCCAGCCCTCAGGAGGCTGAGGCGGGAGGATTGTGAGTTTGAGGCCCTCCTGAGATACATAGTAAGACCCCTTCTCAAACCAGCCCTGACTTCACCGTGCGCTTTGCGAAGTCTTTCCTGCCAGACGCCTCTGAGCGCGGTAGCTTTATCTTTTTAATCGTGACCGCGCCCTGGGAATTCCAATCAAACGGGGCTCCTCTGTGCAGTACTACAGAACTCCCGCGAGGGGGCAGCACAGGACAGCAAATATGCTACACATTGCTCGCCCAGGTCTGGGCTGCGAGAGGCAAGAAACGCTGGGTTAGGAAGAATTTTTACCAGGCCCGAGGGAGGGGAGGATGCGCCAGGAGGAAGAAAAATGGGGGTGCCGCTGGCCCTGAGGGAAAAGAGAATTGTTTTGAGGGCTGGAGGACCAGTAATACTGTACTTGTGAACTGAATCTGTCCATTCATCCAACAAATGTTTCTGAGCCCCTGTGCTGATACACGCATGTACACACAGGGGCAGCTGACGTCTATCATACACACCACACACAATAACTGAGGCCGCCTGTTATTGCCATTCGCTTTTATTGTCCGTACGGGGGATTGAACCCAGGGTCCTCACGTATGCTGAGCAAGTGCTCCAGCACTGAGCAGCCCTTTTCATTTTATTTGAATTTTTAAAAAGTGAAACAGAACGTTATTAACATTTATAACTCATGTACACACGGGTGCTATCTAGAGACGAGTAAAATCTCACCAAGATAGTTTTGAATTCAGGCTTGAATATTGCTGATACATGCATGCCTGTAACTCGAGCGCTCCGGAGGCTGAGGCAAGAGGATCACGCTCAGTTTGAGGCCAGCCTGGACTACATAGCAAGACCCTGTCTCAAAAAACAGCCAAAAAGCCTGCTGCTACACTGTGGAGAAGGCTTATGGGGAGGCGAAGAAGGGAAAGCAAGAGAAACGCTTCTTTTGCAGATTTGCCTGCGCCTTTCACGTCCGTAAGGGTCTTTCTGGGGACTTTTCTAGAGATTCTTTCTAGGTTCTTGTCCTGAACAAAGAACTGGACAAAACAAGTGCAGAAGGTAGCGAGGTTTAACATTTATTAAAGGTAGGAAGAGACACATGCTCCGCCAGTGAGTGCGTGCCAGTTACAGGTGGGAAAAGAAGTCCATTGTGCTGGGTGAGGGCAGACGGTGGCAGGGACAGCAAACTGGCCAAGCGCCCGATGGCTTTCCTGTCCATCACTCCCCAGGCGGACTTCAAGCCGGGCCGTTCTCGCGAGATCGAGAAGCACTTCCGGATCTGTTCCGCGCGGGGTTCGCGCGTGTCTCCTCGGACACTCACCTGCCCGCGCTTTGTCACCCCAGTTGCCAGCCTCAGATCCCGGTGACTGCCAGCCTCCTCTCCCTGCCAAGTGAGCCGCCCTTACAGGTGCAGTTGCTTTCAAAGGTGTGAGCGTCCTCTCAGAGGGTCACTTCTGCTCTGTTTTCAGTTTCTCCTGTTCCTGTAGTTTCTCAAAATAGTCTTTTTGCTAAAGAGGCATCATTTTTGGGGGGGTGGTGGTGGCATATTCTGCTCTCATCCTTTTATTTTATTAAGTCAGGGTCTTGCTAAGTCGCCCAGGGTGGCCTCAAACTTGGCATCCTCCTGCCTCAGCTTCGCATGTAGCTTGGTTTGCAGGAGTGCATCACTGCGCCCGGCTCAAGGTTGCTTTTCCCTCCTAACTGCCCATGGAGACTGTTGGAACTGTTTGTGGTGCCCGTTACTAGCACCCATTGCTGTATAACTGTTCTCTGCTTCTTCACTTTTTTTGTTTTTGTTTTTGTTTTTTTGGTACTGGGGATCGAACTTGGGTCCTTGTGCTTTCGAGGCAGGTAGCGGAACCACTGAGTTAAATCCTCAGCCCTGCTTCTTCACTTTTTAATGCAAACCAGTCATTCTGGAGGCCTTTTGCCCCTTGTGATCTCAATAAAATTTCTCTGAATTGTTCTTCCTCACCCACTTCTATGCCATTCCCGAGGGAGTGCAAGTCCTTTCTGGGATTTCTGCTATCATATCAGTCTTTGGTTTTTTACATAAAAATTGTTTTGCGCCTGCCTGGCAAGCACAAGGTCCTGAATTTGATCCCTGGTACCAAAAAAATAAAAAAGAAAAAAAGAAAAAATTGGGTTTTTTTGTGCTGTTGGAGTAAATGGATTTTTCAGCAGTCTTAGCAACCACACACACACAAATATCCAGTGTTCGCTCCAGGCCTGTGTGAGGTTAGCAGCCTCTTGGGGGTTGGGGACCGTGTCTTGCAGGGATCCCATTTGCCACAGGCCCTGGGGGTCTTTCCCCAGCAGTGCCCACCCTGTCCCTGGGGGCCTGGCCGTTCTTCGAAGTGGGGGCCAGCTGCCCGGGAGCCCCCTGGACTCTTCCCCTGGGTGACTCAGCCCTGCAGTCAGGTGTTTGAACTGAGAAGGAGGAAACTGGGGAGAAACCACAGCCCAGGGAGTGAAAAGCGCCAAGTGCTGGCCTTGGCCATGTTGATTTTGTCACGCTGAGTTACACATGGCTGGACCTAGGCGAGGCCTTTGAGGGCAAGGCCGGGCAGGGGACAGAAGCTTAGGCATCTGGCTGTACAACAGTGGGGCCCTGTGGGCGTGGGCTGACCCATCTCAGGGCTCCACAGTCGCAGGCACACTCCTGCCTGCAGCCAGGGCTCCCTCCGTAGGCAGCTCTGGCCTGGGGCTGACACAGGGAAGTCCAAGACCTCAGGCAAGGTGCTCGGTTTTCTTGGCAGGCTGGCCGCACCACTGGGCACCGTAATGACCGGATCTCTTTGTTCCTCTCCTTCTCAGCTCCTCTGCCTGTATCACCTGTTAAAAGACCGGCCTGCAAGCACAGAGCCTGTTGGGGACCCTTCAGCACGGCAGTGGGGACAGGTAAGGACTTTTTACCCTTTTCGTCCGCTGCGTGAAATCCAGATAGTTTAGGAACTTTGTGGTCTGACTTGGGGCCGTGAGGGCCTTTCATGCCTATAGGACAATGAACTTGAGACCCAGCCCTGAATGGATCTGAAAGCAGTTCAGAGAGCAACGGGACTTGCCTGACACCACACAGCTTATTGGGTCACAGCCGAGATTTGGACTCAGGTGGGTCTGAGCTGGGGTGGGGCTCTTCTTGGCGCAGGATTCATCTTGCCTCATGCCCCTCCCTGTTCCAGAGGAAGGGGCCTGGGCCCCAGGAGAGGAGCTTGCCCGTGGGGATACAGCCAAGGTCCCAGCATGCCTTGCAGTGAGGATGTGGCGGATGTCATGGCCCCGCAGAGCCCAGGCTGGGGTCTTCTTGGAGGCTTCCAGCAGCCAGGCAGGGCCGGGTGGGAAGCTGAATGTGGTTTTCAGGGACACAGGAAGTCCTGGATTTTGGGTGAAGTTGGAAAGCAGCAAACGTATACAAATAAAGAAGGAAACAGCCCAGGAAGACCTTGCTCTCAGCTCTCCAGATGCCAGAACTGTTGTTTCTGTTATTTGTTAAAAAAAAAAAGTTGGAAAGTACTACTGATTGATTTCTCTTTGAGCCAGAAACCAGAAGATACAGTGTTTCTTTTTAGGAATAGAGACAAATGCAGGTTTTCCAAAGGGCCCAGTGCACTGGTGGGCACAGTGAGGCACAGAACAAATGTGAGCATTCCTCGTGGAAAGGTCTTCAGCTCCTTTTAACAATTGTTTTTAAAAATAAATTTTATTTTATTTTATCCTCCCCGCCCCGCAAGCCAGTCTTCAATTCTTTTGGAGGCAATCAGAGCACTTTGATTTTTATTTATTTTTTCACGACTGGAGATTGAACCCAGGGCCTTTGCACTGAGCCACATCAGTCCTCTGCCCCTTTTTAAATTTTGAGACAGGGTCTTGCTAAGCTGCTGAGGTGAGTCTGGGCTCCCAATGTCGATCCTCTTGCCTCAGCCTCCCAAGTGCTGGTTTGCACCAACGTTACAGGTGTGCACCAACACCTCTGGCTATAAGTAAGTTAAAGAGCAAAATAATGATAGATGAAAGGAAACAGAGGAGTAGACCTTATGCAGACAGGGAGGGGATCCGGAGATAGAGGGAAGGGATGGGAGGAGGGGAAAGAAAAGTAGAAAGGATTGACATTCAGAACGTCGGTGTGCCAGCTCCCATGCTGAAGGTGTGCGTGTTCACTGTGTGTCGCAGTGCACTCACGGACAGGTAAAGCGAGGTCTCCCGAGTCCCTGCCCACAGGCTGTAGGCCAGGGGGAGAGGGCCCGCCGGGGAGGGCCAGGCTGGGACAGTGCGGGTTTCTCCCTCGGTTCCCTCTTGGAATGGAGGGGTTCACCTTTCACCGTGTGGGGAGGTGCAGGGTCACTCAAGTGCGAGGCCCAGAACAGGTGCACAGTGAGCTGAATTCCATGCAGCTCTGGCCCGTGGGACCCTGCGCTCCTGGAGCGGTGTCTGGGAGCAACGCTGGAGGGTTGGGGTCCTCACTGCACCCGGCCCCGTCTCTGTGGGCACCGGCAGTGTGGCTCCCCACGGACGGAGGAGCGGTGCTGCTGCTGGACTTGCTCCTGCAAACAGCCGGGTCCCTGACGCAGTTCACTCGTGCGAGGCGCCTCCCTGGGGTGGGGTGTGGAGTGAGGCTGGGATCACAAGGTGACGCCGAGAAACTGAGCCGTGGGGCGAGGGTCCGGGACCTTACCTCGGGGCAGGAGCTGTCTGCACCCCTTCCTGCTCCGTGGCCCTGGGAGCCAAGCAGATAATGAATGTCGGCGCCCAGGGCCGAGGGCCTGATGAGCATGGCCTCGTTCTGATTGTTCCGATCGATCGCCAGGCCCAGGTGTCTGCCTCTTAGGAGGGTCCTCCTTCCCTCCCGGAAGGCCGCTTCTCCAGCCGGAAGTTGATTTATCTGGAGCTTTCTGGGCCACGGAGAGCCTGGGGGGCAGCAGGGTCTGGACTGTGAGGGCTGGAGGTGCGGGGGAGAGGGGCGTCTCTCGGACTCCTTGGGCATCACTCAGAGTCTGTCACCGCGTCCACCAGCTTCGCCGGCCCAGCGTCTCAGCTCTGTCCACATCTCTCCGTGCCCACTGCTTCCTCAGCTGTCTCCTGCTGACCACGGTGACTGCTCCTTCAGCCCCAGACCCCCGTGGCCCCCACTTGACACTCATCAGTGGCTCTTCTTGTTTCTGGACTTGAGACCCAAATCCTTCACGTGCCTGAGATCCCACAGCCTTCTGTTCCCTGGCTGCTTGTCAGCCTTGCTCCGCCATCTGCAGCTGCCCTACAGCCCCCAGTCTTGCCTCCGGACCTGGCGTTCATTTCTCACTTGCCAACTTTGACCTTGGTTAGTCTTGATTGTCGCCTTGATTGACTCAAGAGATGTACAGGTGATTAGCAAAGCTCACTTCTACGTGGGTCGTGGGGTGTGACTTTGCGGACTCTATCTGGTCCCTGGCTCCTTCCTCTTGGGCTCTCTCTCTGCTTCCTGGTTGCCATGAGGTGAGCAGCTCCCCTCTCCCATGATGTTTCTGCCGTGGACTGAACCCTCTGGACTGTGAGCCAACATAACCTTCTGTAAGTCCTGGGCATCAGATATTTTTTCTCAGGCATGGAAAGCTGACTAATACACTTGGAATGATTCCGGGTTAACTCCTAGTCATCCCTTAAATCTCAGCTGGAACAGCTCTTTTCCCAGGAAAGCAACACTGCCCTTCATTTTTTGGAGACAGAGTCTTGTTCTGTAGCCCAGGCTGGCCTCAAACCTTGAATCCTCCTGCCTCAGCCTCCTGAGTGCTGGATTACCAATGTGTGCCATCATGTCTAGCCCAAGGGACCTCTTGTGACCTCCCTCTTCCTTTGCCTGTGAGGGACAGGTTAATGCACCGAGTGGCATTTTCCAAAGGTGGTGGCGATCTTTCCCGCCTCACTGCTCTTTTTACAAGGTGACCTTGACCCGCTTCCCATCCAAGGGCAAGACCTCTGTGCTGCCCCCTCAAATGTGGGTGCAGCTTTGTCTCCTCCTCACGGAAGTGATGCTGCATGGCCCAGGGCTAGAGCTGTATTCCCTCTCTCGCTCTCTGGGAATGCTCACTGCTGGGGCGAGTGCCAGGCCCGAGAGGAGCCCGAGCCAGCCCCCGTGGAGAGCCGCACAGACCGCCCTGCAGGGGCCGCCCAAGGCTGGCAGCCGGCACCGGATGGGCTGGGCCCACTCTTCGTGGGCGTACACCGAGGGCGCTGGTGGGAAACACCCCCAGTTCACCAGGCCCCTCCCGGTCACCCGTGCGGGTGGCTGCCTGCTCTGCTTGTGTGGGGCCCTGACGGTGAGCCCCAGGCTGGGAACAGAGCGGCACTGTGTTTACACTCTCCCACCGCCTCACTCAGGGACAGCCCAAGACGTGAAATGCCGTGTCCTTAGGTGGCAGCTAAACATGTGTCCACTGCCCGGATCCCAGTTCAGACCCAGATTTTGCCTTGTCACGCACGTGTCCCGCCAGATCACGCTCCTGTGCTGGGCCCCGAGGTCCCTGCCCTGGAAGGGAGGAGAGCTGAGCTCCTGCCCATTGGCGGCTGGGCAGTTAGAGCTTGGGCCTGCATCTTTTCTGCACGGTGGAGCTCTTGGATATCTGGGGAGTTGCTTCTAGGTGTGAAATCCATAGAATTAGAAAGGCAACCAGTTATATGGAAATACAGTTCGCCAAATATTACAAAGCCCAACTGCAACAGAGCAACACTGTGCCTTTTATTAACACCCTAAATAATAAGCTCCGGTGGTGGTGGTGGTGCGGGTGGCAACATTATTGCCACAGTGATTTCGAAGCGGGGGTGAGGTCTCTGTGACAAGTGGAATGAGACATGGAAGTGGCCGTGCCTGCCACTGTGACAGAGTCCTGGGTTCCGTTACTGCTCTGCAGCTTGTTGTCTGCCCTGGAGATGGAAGGAAATGCTGTGTTCTAGTTGGACACTAGTAACATTAAGAGAGGATTTTTTTTTCATACTTGGGATCGAACTCAGGACCTTGAGCTTGTGAGGCAGGCGCAGTGCCACTGAGCTAAATCCCCAGCCCTGATTTTGTTTTTCTAAGGGGAGGGACCCTGGTGCATGGCCAGGAGGTTGAGGCAGAAGGGTCACAAATTCAAGCCCAGCTTGGGCAATTTAGTGAGACCCAGTCTCAAAATTAAAAAAAGTAAAAAGTGAAATAGGGCTAGTGTGGTGGCACACGCCTGTCATCTCAGCTATTTGGGAGACTGAGGCGGGAGGATCACAAGTTCAAGGCCAGCTTGGGCAACTTAGGGAGATCCTGTCTCAGAATAAAAAATGAAAAGAACTGGGTAGCTGAGTGATAGAGCACTGGCTCAGCATGTGTGAGGCCCTGGGTTTGATCCCCTGGACCACAAAAACAAAAAAGAAAACAGTGGTATTAAAGAAAACCACTGGCCAGGGATTTAGCTCAGTGGTTTTGCTGCCTGCTGTGCAAGCACAAGGACCCGAGTTCAATCCTCGGTACAAAAAAAAAAAAAAAAAAAAGAGAACCACTGTTTGCTGTCCGTAACCTGAGGTGGAACAATCAGGGCGTAGCAACACAAAAGGGAGTTCCTGACATTAATGTGTAAGCAGAGAGAATGTGCAGGGTCTGCGGTGCTCGGTCCGGTGCCCGGCATGTGTTGTTTGTTACTGAGCTTGACTCTGGTGGTGAAGATGACGCCTACCTTCCCCTTAGGACGGGGACTCTTGGGGGGACACAGGGCCCTGCTGGCTGGGTCTGCGCTGGCACAGTGCAGCAAAGAACTCGCAGCCCTGTTAGAGCTGGATCCGAGGGAAGCAGGTCTGATTCGAGGAAGATGAAGTCTTCTCTCCGCTGTCTTTTGGGGAAAGCGAGCAATCAATAGGCCTCACAGATCAGTGGAGGGTGCTGCGAATCGGGCAGCGAGGGG